GACCAGAGGAAGCGGGTTCACAGTCTTATGCATGCATGCGCTCATAGCAAAAAGACATGTAAATGAATGAAATGCATAGGTAATTCCATGCTAATGAAGTAAAGAGTAAACAGAGGCACAGCTTGAGATAGGAGGGAATATGGGTGGAACAAAGGAGGGGCAAAGGTGGAGTAAATGTTAAGTATGAACCAAGGTATATAAATGTGGAAAGAACTAATGTTCACTGCGGCTCCCCGGTTTTTTGGGAGCTAGTCTGAAGCTGTCTCCATTTTGAATAAAGCTGCTGCAACTAATGTGTTCTGGTGTTTGCTCCCTGCTTGCTTCCTGAGCAACTGGATCCGTGGGCAATTGGATTGTCATCTCCCTAGTCATTGGGCGCTGAATGGAGTCAGGATCTAACACACACAATTTCACTTAAGTTTTTATCTCCCAGACAAAATATGTTATGCTTGTATTAAGCTTACTTAAATGTAAAAAGCATTTAAAAAATGTTCTTGTTGCCATATACATGTATCCATTTCATATAATAAAATCATAGAGAAGTAGGGCTAGAAGGGACCTCCAGAGGTAATTTAATCTAACCCCCTGCCTCAGGCAGGATCATCCTTATCCAAACCATCCTATACAATCCATAATTTAAACTCATAACATGAGACTTCTATCAATGCTGACAAAACACAGACCCAACACCTTAACTTACCACAAGTAAAGCAGAGGAACCACAGCAGCCAATGTCCTGTTTCTATGAAATACTCTCAACATATGCTCAAGAGATCTCAGGTAGAGGGCTTTACTCCCCGCTACAATCAGTCTGACCCTGAGCAGAGGGGCAAGACCTTGTAGCCAGGAACCTCCAGTTTTGGTCCCATTAATATATTCAATAATTAATATATTTCATTAATATTTTCAATAGGAGGCCAGCAGCTTAATTAGGAGACCTGGAAATGAGTATGTTCCATGTTTTAAAGCATGGAAGCCCGCTGTGAAGGCACCCCAACATCCTGAATTCCAAGCAGATATTCCAAATTTGGAATGTAAAGTTCCATCGTGAACCAAAACCTACCAAGAAGTGGATGTTAGCTCTTCTTTAAAGTCAGCATTCTTAATACACAAGTGATATGACACAATCAGAAACACCTCTGAAGGGTTTTGTCACACCCTACTGTAGAATGTGTTGCCAGCAGATAGGGGGAAATGATTATTCCCCTCTATTTAGCACTGGTGAGGTCACATCTGGTGTCTAATTTTGGGCCCCCCACTATAGAAAGGTTCTAGACAAACTGAAGAGTCTGGCAGAGAGCAACACAAATGGTTAGGCGCCTGGAGCATTTTACTTCTGAGGAGAGGCTGAGGGAACTTGGCTTGTTTAGTCTGGAGAAGAGAAGATTGTCGGGGGGCTTCGCAGCAGCCTTCAGCTATCTGAAGGGTGGTTCCAAAGAGGATGGAGTTGGACTGTTCTCTAGGGCTAAGTACAGACAGTCAAAAAAGGCTGAGGCTGAATAGATTCAGTCTTTGCAGGTTAGCCTAAACTGCACAGATTAAATTGAAACAGAAATGGGCAAACATTTACTTTTGACTCAGGAAATACAGCCTCATGCCTGCAGTGGCTTAGCCCAGAACCTGGGGCGCATTAGAGCACAGTTCTCTGGCTGTGCATTCACTTCCTCTTCCTGCTGCCCCTGAGGTCTCTGGGATTTGCACTCCAGAATTACACCAGCAGGACCCTGCAGGATTGCTCATCACTTCCTCTTCCTGCTTTCAGATGCTTCTGGGATTTGTAGTCCACAGTTGCAGCCAGAAGTAAGTTTGAGCAAGAGAAGGGGCATGAGTGACTGGTACTTCCGGAATCTGGGGGGCACTCGCAGAAGCTGCTGACTCTGTCGGAGGGAGGGCATCAGCCCTACCGACAGCATCAGTGTTGGCCGTTGGGAGGGCAGCAGCCCTGTCAGGGTGCACGTGCACCCCTGTGCACCCCCTACCAGTCACTTATGGGAAGGGGTGTTTAACACCTACTCCCTGGCTGGAGACCCCAGGCAGTGTTTGCCGGGGGGGGGGGGGGGGGGCCGTACATTGGGCTGCATCCCCAGTCAGGCTTGACCCCTACCACCTTGTCAGCCATCCCACACTGCTCCAGATAGACAGTGGAGGGACGGAGACAGGCCTGCTCTCTGGAGCAGACAGCACAGCACAGCCCAGGGCTGGAAAGCATGCTGGGGGACTGTAATTGAACTTGAACCAGGAAGTGGTCTGGCTTTTTTTGGCCAGTGTATCCAATAATGTATCAATAAATATAATGTGCCTTCTGGCTGGGGCCCCTAGACACCGCATGCATGTGCACAGCTGCAGCATGCACTCACCCAGGAGTGCAGCTGAGCACTGTGGAGAGCAGCACCCTGCAGGTAAGACTGCAGAGGGGAAAGGGTATGGGGGAGGGAAGGGGTATGTCTTGCATGGTGGCCACAGATTGAGGCCCTCACGGTGAGGGAAGGAGTGGGGCAGGGGTGGGGGCTGGGGCAGGGCAGTGAATGGGAGCCCAGGACCAGGGTGGGGACTGCGAATGAAGATGTGGGTGGCCTGTCCTGGGGATCTGCATCCCAGCACGAGTTGTGCTTTCCACTGCCGGGTGGGCAGGGGACATGACGCAGCCAGTGCATGGCTCCTGGGACAAAGGTAGCAGGGCAGAGAGAGCCAAGCGGGCAGCCTGCATCTGTCCTTGCCCCACTCAGCCCCACTCCTAAAAGCATCCTGGCACTTAAAATGGTGGTGGCAGCACTTGAACTAAAGCTCATTCTTTGAGCTTTAGTTCAAAAGCCCCTCCTGCCATTTTTAAGTGCTAGGACTGATCTCTTGGACAAGCCACCTGCGGCTTTGTCCCACTCCCCATCCCAGTCCCAAGGTCCTATTCATCGCCGTGCCCCCATCCCATTCCTTCCCCGACTGTGGGAGCCCCAATCTGTGCCTCCAGCACCATATCCCTTCCCCTCCACAGACTTACCTGCAGGGCACTGCTCTCCATGCTGCCTGGCTGCATCCCTGTAAATCAGTTATTGAATTGGTGTCGGCTGATATGGCTGGTGAATAATCAGCTATCGGTATCGGCCAAGAAAATCATGATCAGTGCACCCCTACTGTTCTTGGTAGTGGCAGATGACAGAACAAGAAGCAATGGTCTCAAGTTGTAGGAAGAGAAGTTTAGATTAGATATAAGGAAAACCTTTCTCACTAGGAGGGTAGTAAACCACTGGAACAGGTTACCCAGAGAGGTTGTGGAATCTCTGTTCTTAGAGGTTTTAAGACCTGGCTAGAAAAAGCTTTGGCTGGGATGATTTAGTTTGGGATGTTCCTACTTTGAGCAGGGGGTTGGACTAGATGACCTCCTGAGGTCCCATCCACCCCTAATTGTCTATGATGATTCTATGATTTTGCTGGTGTGTATCTATTCTAATTTGGAGAGTCCATTTTTTGAAAAAAAGAAGGATTACGCCATTTCAGTGTCCAGTCAATGCATCACTTCACTGGTAAGAACCTGACCAAGGGTGCCAAATTCAGGTGGAGGCTCTGTGATATGAACATTCATCCAGAAAGAATTGGAATATGACTATGTAGTCAAAGAAACAAAAAAATTAGCAAGCTCTGATCACCACCAAAAACCTAAGTCAAACTAGGTTATCACATTATTAACCCACAGAGCCAACCTGAATAGTAGGATATATAAATGGAAGATGGATGGATTACTTTGAATCTTACTTTAAGTGAAAGCCTTCTTTTACTCTGCCTAACAAGCTACTATATTTCCCAAGTGCTGCAACAACTTCAAACACAAAGTGCTCTTTCAGTTAGGCCACTCCTTTTATTCTCCAGTATGTAAATAAATGTAAAGATCTGAATGAAAAAAGTTTGATGTTTTTACATAGTAACAAACTTCAACTTACACAGCCTTCACCAAAGGTCTCATATTTTTCTTTAAAATGTTGTAAATTAATACTCAGTACAAGTTAAGATTCTTCCCTTCTAACTTTCTGCAGAACTGTAAAGTCATTAATGTCTCTGTATTGCTTATTGAGCCACTCAAGCATAGCTAGAACATGATAGATTTCTTCATGGCCATTTCCTTCCATCTGGGGTGATATAAGGACAACTGTTTTATTTTTGCAACACTTGCTAGGCTATACCAGTTGTAAAGTGATTACAGAAGATTTGTACTGTGGCCAGCATGCTTTTCCCTCACTCTTACTTCCTATAAATTCACTGAGATGCTGACCATCTCTCTAACTAAGGAATGAATAATTGTGGTATGTGTTAAGGATAGCCCACCAAAAAGAGGATCTGGGGAATTTTGGAGTTAATTTCTCTTCTTGACTCTATTCTTCAGGGAAAAACAAATGGATATTACTAAACTTTGCACCAAAGCATATAAAGATAAGCTTAAACAATTAGTAAATGGAACTTCAGACCTACAACATGTCTGAATACCAATAGGCTTGCAATGAAAATCCAGCTAGTTATATGGGCAAACCCTATTGCTTTATCACTGCATGTCTAAACTACTGAAAACACTGTGGTGACACCTTACACATGATTTGCCGTGGCTGTCTGTTTTGGAATTCGAAAGGAATAAAATAAGAGTGCTAGGAAATCATCAGGTACTTATCCACAGGATCTGTATACTGTAGACATTATTCAGACATTTTTAGGAAGGCAAGTTATTATTTTTAGAAATAGGGATAGAAAGCAAAGCTCAAAAAGTTCCATGAATTCACTAAAATCAAATATCTGGGTGCATCTTAAATTTAAGGGCACCTTCTTTTAGAAGGAATACAAAACTGATTGAAACGTATACCAAATAAATTAATATTGCAAGTAAATGTGCATTACAAATTATTCAAATAGACTATTGTGATGTAATTTATCCAAAATAACTTGAGTATAACAGGTTTCTATGGTCCATGGCTATTTAAGACAATCAAATGCATCCCTTAATCTATCAACATTCAACTTACCCTCAGCATGGGGCCATTCTGAAACACATGTGGTTCATCACAAACTACACAGTATTCGTTCAATACGGGTATCCGCTGCTCAGCAAATTCAATAGTCTGAGAACAATGAAAATGAGAACAACATCATCTGCTTAAAAATAATTAACAGACAGCTCATGCTCCAAAGTATTTCTAAAATGGACAGATATCATCTCTTACCTGCACAAGAAAGCCATGGTCTCGTACTGGAATGCATTTTGCACCATAATTTGGCTGTAAGGAAAAAAGTGAGGCACTTCAGTGCATGGAGGCTAATTCGATTTTTAGATTTTTTTTTTTGTGGAGATGCTAAAATTGTATTTTTTTTCTTTGTAAATCTGTCAAATAATATTTGCATCTGGAGAGATCTGCAGCTTACACAAATCATCCAAAATAAATTCATCTGTCTTTCTGATATTGCCTATGCAGCTTTTGCTTTATCTGTCCACTGGCAGCTTGTGTATCTGGACCGAACCATTCCAAAAACTAATCTCAACAAAAAGCACAACTGCTGAACTCCATGCTGGTGTACAAACATTAAGCAATTGTTTTCAAGTAGAGCTGAATGCTAGTTTTTAAATTTAATTTTGTGCATTCTCTCTCCCCGCATATACATACATATCAACTATATATTTAGACTCACATTTCTAAATTTCCTTTAAAACTAAAACAGAATTGAACTTCCCTTTCTCTCATGCTTTACTGATACCCCTTCCTTGAGTATCATCCTAGTTCAGGGGTGGCTGACCCATGGCGCACAAGCCATAAGTGGCCTAGGCAGTTGCTGTGTGTGGCACTCAAGCCCTGGGAACTCAGAAAAAAGCAGCCAGAATGGAAGCAAGAGAGCACAGAGCCTCCAGCCAGGTACAGCAGAATAGAGGCAGTATGCTGCTGCAAGAGAAGATGTCAAGTTCACTGTCAAAAGCTGGATGAACCCTCCCCTTGCCCTGCAGCTCCTGCCAATTTTAAGGCTCGCTATATAAAACTGAAGCAGTTGCAGTGCCAGGGAAGCATTAATCCAAAAGCATTGAGCCCTCCTGCCCCCATTCTGGCAGTCTAGGACACAAACTCTATCAGGCCTTTCAGGGGCACAGATCAGGGCAGCATTTGAGAAGGGTTACAGCTTAACATGTGACATGCCTAAAAACTAAGGTTGGCTACCACAGTACCTAGCATCGTTGTTGCTTTTTTTCAATTTACAGTGACATATTAGGTTATAAGGTGGCCAAAGAGTATGGAACACTCCCACCTACCATCTGTCTCAGTCCATCATTTTACCTTCAATGAGACTTACATCAGGCTATTATGCAGCTTTTGTTTACAGGCCTGCTTTCCATCTCATGACTTTATTTGCAGAACTTTCCCCTGACTCCATGTAGGAAATGGCTCTACAACTTATTTTTCTATATGTCACGCCAAAAAATTTTGGCAAGATAGCAGAAAGGTTTTAATACATGTATTGCCCATGTTAGTCTTGATGGCACTCACTCAAGCCAACAGAATTGCATCTCATTGTATATAAGCTTGGTTTCTTTCAAAAGTAATATATCATAATAATAAAAAATATTATGAAGAATAGTTTTTATTATTATAGTCTGTATCTCTTCTTGCAGTATCACCAATGCCAATATCACTAATGACAGCACCCAGAACCTGAACAAATCCTCATTATCTCGCCAAAGTTAATGTTAGATTTTTTACTGATATCAAGTAGAAGCCTGTTCAGGCCTCCAAAGCAGGGGCATCATCAAAGTTCAAAAGGAAAAATGAATTCCAAACATGCGGTATGGTTGAAATTTTTTTTTCCATTTCATCTTTAGTTAATGTTGGGTGTATAAGCTAAAGAACAATCAAGTAGCATACACATAAACAATTCTCTTGAATCATACCGTATCAGTGCCTTTAGATACAGTGAATACTATCCATAAACAACTTACTAAACTACTTTACCATGAAATGAAATACACTCAGTATAATTTAATTAGAAGAATACAATATTTTGCTCTTATACAACCTTTTAACAAAGGATCTCAGAGACTTCTCAAGATAGGAAGCTCAAAGTAGTGTGAAGCTGTGGACTAGACCTAATACTTAAGTACCTGAAGTAAAACTTAAGCAGAATTTAGGCACCTGAACTCCTGCTTGACATCCAGCAAACCTCTTACTTGCCTGATAGTCTATAGGTATCTGAGATTTCTGTCAAAAACTTACTTAGGCATCTGAACTCCTGCTATTGCAAATGCCCAGGGGTACCTCCATCTGGTTGAGCTGAACATCTCAGCACCTATCTGCTGCCTGAAGCCATTTGGAATTCACAAAAAATGCATTTCCAAGCCCTGAGGGGCTCGAATCAATAAATATATCCAGCACATCTCTAATGCATCCTGAGTTCAGCACAGAGCATCACAACCACAGTGATTTTTCATTTGAAAACATAGCTGGTAGTAGTGCCTCTGCCTGCCTTTTTGTATAATAGGACAGTATACTTGCTCAGGAAGTAGGAGACCTGGGAAGCAAGTTGATTCAAATCCTCATCAGCCATTTCCCAAGCGAGGACCTGGACCACCATATTATGAATTAGTTTGGGATGGCAGCATTATCCCTCCTATGCATATTCTTCAGTGGTTGCTTTGTGCCAAAACATGTAAGTAGCTCCTAGGGGAGGGACTAGGATTCGGGACTCCCTATATCCCAAGGTGAGTGTCCTCATCACAAAGATAGAGTCATGCTCTCTCTCCTTTTGGGCCCATGAATCTGAAATTCCCGGCTGGCTGCTGCACAGCTTCCCAGGAGGGGTAGAGTGGGCCACCATTCCAGCCCATCCTGTAGCCTGTCAATTATGGCATTTCAAACTGTTTGAAACTCCTCAAGGTGAAGAAAACCTTTGAACCCAGGTCTCCCATTTCCTAGGCAGCACCACAACCACTCATGCTTTTAAAGAAAACAGTAAACTAGTCTTCCATACCTAATGGGACCAGTTAGGTGCCTAAGTGCAGGAAGGGGTTAGGTCTCTGAATCCCAGTCTCTCATACCTAAACCCAGGGGAGCGGTAGAGAGAGAAAGCACCAGTTCTGCATTTCTTAATGGGTAGCTTAGGCTCCCTCTGGTCCAGGTTGTGCCTGTTTGGGTGAATTCCACTTTGAGAAACCTCACTTTCCCTTTTCACTGCCTAGAAATCTTGGGCATCTAATTCAGGTTGGTACACTCCAATCCCAGAGCTCGAATACCGTACATCATCACATCTAACTGCTTCTGTGGATTGAGCCTAGGTGCTCATTAAGGGTTATGGATAGAACCCAAGTCTCTTAATGCCTTTTCCCACATCTGACACTTGAGACAGTTCAATACCTTGAAACAGGAAAAAAAGGTCAGAACTTACTCTAATATTACAGAATATCTCCCAGGTTTTGATATTCAGTTATAGAAAGAACTACGTTTAAAAATCATTTATGTGCACTGAACTTCTGTTGTGTTACAGATTTGAACTGGTTTCCGGTCATTTATATTGGTTTATGTGTAATGTCTGTCCCTAGCCCTTGTGAATATGTGTATGCAGATCGCTGTAGCTTTGGCACCAGTCACACTACTCCTTGCAACTTGTTGACCTGAGCACTTGAGCCAGTGTTATGGCTTAACTAACCTGTTACTGAAATAGGCCAGTAGCAAATTACTTTGTTTACAGAACAACAGGGGAACCAAGAAAAGAACTGCATGCCATCCCTTATTCAGACAGATGTAAAATCTCTATCTTAAACTAAGTGATTTCTGTTAGTACAGTGTTGTAGATGTTTACCTATATAGACCTGTATTAGAGTTAGTTTAACACCAAAGCTTCCTTCCTGCACCAATGATTTCATTTAGGTATATTCTGCATATAAGTGGATTTTAAAAACAAATGGAAGGGATAACAAACAGGATAATGATTATTACGCACAGCAGCTTGCAAAGGTGATGATGACGATGGTGTTAAGATACCAATAAGCCCTGAGGTAAGAGAGAGACGCCTGCCCTCTGCAATGGTCGGTTCCTTGAAAAGCTCCGTTTTGGATGACTTTGGGGCACTGGAGTAAGACTTGCTGAGTAACTTATGATTCTTTAGTCCATCCAATTCTTCCATTCTAAGATTACTGGAATAAGACCTGCTTAAAAGTTTGTGGGGCTTCAAGGTGCTGTTGTGCTCACATCGAGGATCCCCAGAACATGATCTACTTAGTAGTTTATGGGGCTTTAGAGTGATGCACTCTTCTTGTTTGACAGCAGTAGAGCAGGAACGGTTCAACAGTTTGTGCGATTTAATAGCCATTGTCTGCTCAGCCCTAGGATCACTAGACAGCGAGCGGCCAAACGTTCTGTGAGATTTATTGGTGCAAACATCGTCAGCCTTAACTGTGCTAGAACAAGTCCTTCTCAGCAACTTGTGAGTTTTGGAGATGCCATCTTGTTCTGATTTCAGTTTTGATTTGTTTTTACCACAGCCAGGTGGAGGATAACTTGGCGACCTTCAAAATAAAGAAGAAAAGAAATTAGCTGAGCAACAATCAAAGTCTCTACAAGATGAACAAGTAACTACATGCAACAAAGGGCCAAATCTATTCCACCTATTAGGCGCATAACTAGACTTAGGCATCTAAGTGTGATTTTATTCTACCTGGTTGAGCCCCAGAAAAACACTGCAAAAGGTGGGTAGGTCCTCCTTTTCCTTGCTGAATATGTGTGACTTAGTCTTAAGGGTAAGAGGACAGTGTATTACAAAATTTAAATGGATTAATGCAGTTTTCAGGATGTGAACAGGCTGGAATAGAATCAGTTTAGGATCAGAAGACCCAAGAGGTAAGATATAAATAGAAAGCTTCTTTTTGGAGGAAAGCCGACACCTCTCCTTGTTAAGTATGGTGCTGAATGAAGAGGATGTGACAATAACAGTTCATTTTTCTTGTTATTACCTGCGCAAGGTAGAAAAGATGTGCAGAGGGGATTTCACTTTTTTCTCCGACAATTTCTTGTTGTGCGTACAATTTGATTTTTCTTTACTATTTTTCCACTGTTGTGTAACAAATGTCTGCATGATTCTGTGAATTAAAAAAATATTTTTTTCTCACATTTTTCAGAGTCAATATTAAGGGCTGTTCATTCATCTCCTGTAAGTTCATCACAGGGGCACAGAAGGGAATTGGTGAGGTTTTATTCACCAAGGCGCTCCCGGGGGTTACAAGAAATAATGGCCACAAGCTAGCAGAGAGCAGATTTAGACTAGACACTAGGAAGAACTTCTTCACAGTTCGAGTGGCCAAGGTCTGGAACGGGCTCCCAGAAGGGAGCTGACCTTCAGGTCTTGCCCAAATTCTTATTCCCATTTGAGCAGAAATTTCTCCAGTACACTGCTTTCTGTCCACCTCACCCAATGACTATTAAGTGCAAGGGGCAGTGGCTCAGCCTCAAAAGGAACATGAGGGAGGGGCCTGGATCATGCCTGAGTTGTAGTGTGGTAGTTATAGAACTGTGCTAGGAAGCTAGAAAGATACCAGTTCAAGCCTCCTCTTGGCAAGGGGGGCTGGGAGCCCATGTCTCTGGTTTTCTAGGCAAGTATCATAACCGCTTAGCTACTAGAGATTAAACAAAGAAGGGCACAGAAAGAAGCACTTTAGTGGGGGAGAAAAAAAGTTAGTTATTCCAGGACTTACACTCAGGTTACAGTGCACATACCACATAGCTGGCTGGTGTGCAGTCCTATTTTATATGTTCAGTCTACACTCACGTGCTTACACATCTACAGCATAAAGCCAAGGCAAAAACGGTCAGGGAGTTGGCTAGAAAACTGCCATTTAGACACACAAAGGAAAATAGAATTCCACCCATAATGTCCAAATCACGGATACATCCTGCATAAGAGAAAGTTGGAAGATATTTGAAAGTGTATTTTTACAGGACTGACAGAATGCAAGGGTGTTTACAAATAGGGATACATGTCTGGTAAGGTTACAGTGAATGATAGTATAGGCCTAACTGGAAATTTAATTTTTTTTCAAAAATTCTTGTCCACAGGAATGAAGGCCTATGAGACATGACTATTCAAAATGTTCTGCTAAATTAGTATGCACACACAAAATTACATTTGCTTGACAAAATACAGTACAAAAGAATGAATTGTGTATACCTCTTGTAAAAGCACCTAATATGTGATTCAAGATTACTGGAATTAGTGAAATCCAGTGTTAGGTGCTTTCAATGATTTTTGTGTGTGTCACATTATCCTAGTAATGTTGATGTGACTGATTTACTTGTAAGGTTATTAAAACATTAAACAGTTAGCTCTAAGGTGCCACCCTGACCTGCTTTCTGCCTGATTTCAGACTAACATGGTTATACCACATCTCACAATTTTGTATTAATAATTTCTTTAAACACCAAGCAGTAAAGATCTTTTTTCAGGGAACAAACTGACACTTTTAAAAGATTGAGACATTTAAACATATATTCCTGTAACTTAGCATTATTGACTCAACAGCATTGTAATTAACTGAATTATATCATGAAAGGTGCTATATAACATGGCTAAATCTTCTCAGCTATCCAATGTGGTTGTTAGTATTACTGAAGCAGAACCTAGAGGTCTCTCAACAGTCATCACAGCCCTGTTGTGCTAGGCACTGTACACAAGATTCCCTGTGTTAGAACGCTTGTAGTTTAAGTCAGGGATGTATGTCCAACTTGTGAGCAACTATAGGCTGCATGAATACTCCAACTGCATCACCCTGCCCAGGTTCTCTGGTTGTAGGCTGCCTTAGGCCCACACACTGCCCCACCCCATCCCATCCTGTCCACAGAGGCAAGGGCAGGGAACAGAAGCTGGAAGGAGGAGTGGGAGCCAGGACTCTGGCTGCTCTACAGTAGGGAGTAGTGGCTGGGTGAGAGCCTGCAGGTCACAAAACCTCTCATGAACCTGATGCAGTTCAGAGGCTATGAGATGGACAGCCCTGCTATAGGTAGCAATAAGACATTGATGAGAAATGCATATTGGCTTCTATTTCACTCTGGAGAGCACACACACACCAGCAGACTTCTCCCTATGCCTGAAGAAGGATGTTTGTGTCCAAAAGCTTGCAAAGAACAATTTTTCCAACTATTTATTTGGTCTAATAAAAGAAAGCACATTTACCCAAAGAACTTTATCTGTCAATAAGAAATAGAACATTTTTAGATGCAAACTCTTTGAGTAACTCTCACTTTATATATACTACTTGAAGTGCAACACAAATGGTAGCAGACATATTTATATGGATCAAGATTGAAGATATTTTTCAGTATTATTACAACAGCATCTGAAAATGGGAGACATGTTTTTTATACGTAACGTTGGGAGCTATTTATCTGAATCAGATCTACAACCCATCCGTTAACTGTGGTTTACTTGATACAATGCAAGAGCTAACACAGCATAACCACAATGTTGCTACAAGGCTTTAGATTCTTCCCAGAACTTACTTTTTCAGTTGATGTCCCAACCCAAATCTTTCCTTCGTAGAGATCTGAAATACATCCACAGTGGGTACTAGAGGAAAAAAAAAGATGTCGGTGATGCATGTGTATCTATAGAAATTTGTGTATTAGTACAGGTTAACACAGAGAACTGATTATTGCATTATTAGTCATTTGGTATTTATGGGACACAATTCATGCTGACATCTAACTATAGCAATGTCAATGAAGCAGCGATGAAAACAGTAGTATTACCCAAGTCTCTGTAGAATATGTTCTTTTTTGTAGTATCAGGTGGCAATGCATTTTATGTTACATTTAAAATGCATTCACTCCCTCTATTAATTGTAATTTGTTTTCATTTTGTTTACAAAATCATTACTTATGTTAGGGAAAGGTTAGACAGAAGCAACAACTTAACTTTCTCTTTGTTAATTATATGTCTCTGACACATCTTAAGCTTCTCTTGTCCAAGAAAATAGCTCCAATTCAAGATTCCCCAAGAGAATCTTTTGAATCTCTTCTTGTACTAGAGGTTGGTCTTTGCTACCTTGAAAAAACTTACCTTTTTACTTAATCATTTTATCTCTACTTTGTGGGAATGCAAAGTTTTGTCCTTTGTTCCGTACCCTTTTGTTCGTTATTTACTAGTTTTTAACAGGTCTCAGAAAATATGGACGAAATGCTACTCAAAGGCCACATTTACATGAGACACCAGCTGCACAGTAGCCCTATACTACTCCGCAGTAGGGGTATGCAAAACAGGCCATATTCAATTCGGATTCAGACCCGAAAAGAAGACAGTGATTCGATTCATTGATTTGGAGCACTGTTCCGATTCAATTTGGCCAAATCCGAATCTGAAGATTCAATACTGATTTGGAGAATCAGCGATTCGGCCATAGACACAGCTTTAAATGTTTTTTCTACATACCACAAGGTACCAGGCATGGCTCATGAATGCTGCGATGGTGGGGCGGATAAAGCATCTCACAGGAGTGGAGGGGGGGGG